GGGCGTACTCATTTGTTGCTTGCCGTAGTCATTTGACCATTGACCACGCCGTAGAGGGGGGGCGGGGATAGCACATAAGGTCCCCGTTTTAAACCCTGTGCGAACCCTTCACCTTTCCAAGGCCTAACACATTACCTTGTAGCAACCGTTCCTCTGACAAGGTCCCACGAGATACCCCGTACAAGGTGATGGGCGTGCAGCAGGATCATGAGGGGTAACCCCAGCAAGGCCTAGCACCTTGCGAGGGTCCACGTGTTCACCTTGTTTACTTCACGACCCTGTCAGGGCATCACCGAGAATACCGGACAGGGTGTCGGGCATGTACAAGGTAAACGCCATGGACCCCACCAATGGACAACACCTTACCAAGGTCCAGGCTCTGACGTTGGCATCGCTCCGAACCCTGTACAACCCCCCCACAGGGTGCCTGCAGGGTTAAACCCCCTGCCAAGGGTCCCCCAGGGGTAGCCGAGTGGCCACCGGTGCGCGAAGGGTGTTCTGATTGAGTCCCAGGTCGCGCACTCTCTCCAGCGCAGCGATACTCTCCGGCTTCATCAGCTTGCTCACGTATGATGTGCCGACGTTGAACTTTGCAGCAACCGCCTTTCTTTTAGCGCCACCTCGGATCTCGATGACAAGCTGCAACCGCTGCGCCGTTGAGAGTTTGTCTCCGCGGTACGTTGACGCCCTTTCCCCTTCCCTCCAGTCTCTGGCTTCTTGCGCCCGGCCGGGTGCGACGAGCTGGGCGTAAGGGAAAAAAGTGGCGAGTGAAGGTCGAGATGTCAAGGGAGGTTGTCGGCACTTGTGCTGACGGAGGAACGCGAGAATCCACATGGTAAATAGTTCAGCAGATTGCGCCAAATAAAACTTGCGCTGACTTTCCAGGGAGAGAGCACATATCTGTGCTGGCAGCATGGAAATGAGGCAAGAGAGGCACACAAGCATTCCAGATTTTGGGAGCACCATGTACATATCGCACAGCAGGTAGTTGTGTACATTGCCTACTTTTCAAGCGAGCTTTCAAGTGTGAATCCTGCATGACATACAGCAGACCTCTCGAACACGACAGTCTGCATATCACCGTCGAAGTGCGAGCACGGGTACGGCAGCGCAGCGAGTCATTTGCTCCCATGCCAACAGCTGCGGGAGCGAACGGTTTTTGTGTTCAATTTTTTTTTTTTTGCTTTACAGCAGTATCACAGACACACCGACAGACACACACGACACACACACACACGCACACACACACACACACACAGGGAGATTTCAAAAAAACACCCGCACAAGATTGTGCCGAACTCCTCATGTATGACAGAAAGGAACGCAGAAATCATGTGCGAGTGGGAACGGTGATATTTCGTGTGGTGTTTCATGGCGCGTGAGTCGCTTCATGCCCAGCAGCAGCACGGTGTTCGTTCGGTCGAGGGCTGCTGGCTGCTGACTGCTACTGTTGACTGCTACTGCTGACTGCGGCGCGATTCACTCTCATCACCTGTTCTCGCTGTCGTCTCCACTGTCCACCTCCATGGGACTGCTGCTGGTGCCGATCCCGCCCTCATCCGTTCTCTTCTGACAATCCGTGCACATTCGCTGCTGCCCGTAGCCTTCATCCCCGATGCCTCGCCCGCAGAAGGCATGCATCGGCCGCCCGCAAGGGCACTCGTGGATTGCTGTGATCAGCAGAGACTTGTGCTTGCACGTTGGTTCCCCACATGTTTTCTTGCCGGTGCTTGTATCAGAGGAACCTCCGGTAGGCGGTAGGAATCTCTTCATGTGTACCAACAGCAGCAGCAGCAGACCGCGCTCTATATTGTTGCGCGTGTGATGAACCAAACAAAGCACTCCACAGGTGAAAAAAGGGGGGTTCGCAGAATAGAAACTGTATATCCCCCTTTATTTGTACTGTCTGTCGGCCCCCTCGGTTCTGGAAAAAAGTCGTCCTTTAAGCGGGGGGTTTCCTTACTACGAGCGTCCTTAAAGCGGGGTCGACTGTACTACCAGCAGCAGCAGCCACCGCCGCAGCCTCCGCCACCGCCGTCGTTCCAGCAGCAGCAGCAGCACTCGACCCATGCCCTGTACCATTCGCCTCCTCCCGACGTAGCCGGATCCCCTGGGCATCTTCACTTCCTCAAGACACGTTTTGTGTCACAAGGCGAGATCTTTCCAAGTGTGGTAGCGCGTGAGGATGGTGGTGGTTTTGCTTTGTTCAGAGTCGCCCTTCGCAGATTGGTAGAGAGCAATTTTGGGCCGACAGCGGCGCAAGCAACACGTTTGTCAGCAGTAGCGAAAACATGTTCGACATGAAGCCGATCCCAGCAGGAAAAGGATTCATCCAAGTAGGGAATCGTGCCTATCTGCGCGTGCAATGTGTTGGTAGCATCAACATGGCATTTCACATGCCTGGCCCTTCGGGCGAGACCGATTTTTGCGTGCAGATGTCGGACGTGTATGTAGTCCCCGGTATCACGTTCAATCTGTTTTCTCTGCACCATACGCAGCGTAGGCAGAAGATTACGTTGGACGAGAATGGCGTGCATCTTTTCAATGGCCAGCTTTCCTTTGCCTACTCCGATGTAGGATGTTCTCTTTGGGCCACTCGCTTGCCTCCCACGTATACCGGTAGTGCTGTGACCCTCGGTCCCAATGCCCTCCCTCGTGTGTCTCCCCAAGCTCCCTCGCCTAGCGTTGGAACAGGCCTTGTTGTGGCGAACCCCCCTTTCCCCCCAAACACAGCGGGCACACCTGCGAGTACGAGCTTCCAGTCCGCCGGTGGAGCCGCTGCCGGTGTTGTACCTTCGAGTTAGAGTGCGATTCCGAGCTTCCAGTCCGCCGGTGGTGCCACTGCCGGTGTTGTACCTTCGAGTTCGAGTGCGAGTCCGAGCTTCCCATCCGTCACTTCCGGTGTAGAACTTCCGCGTTGTGCATTCCCGCCCATGGACGTAGATTGTAGTGCCAACGACTATTGCCGACTTCCAGCCTGTAATTACGGCTGCCGTAGCACGTCTGAGATTGTTTCTCCCTCCGTCGTTGACCCGAGCGATTTTTGTGAAGTTGTGATCAACCCCCTCGTCCCCCAGGACCATTTGCCTCTCATGGATATGAGCATGTTCCTTGATGTTGGCCTGATGGATGGAAAAGACTCGGTCCCACAGGGTGATTTTTTTCCGGATGCCCTTGATGTTTGCGATTCCGCAACATCCCCTCCCCCAAAGTTTCCCGTGATGAGTGATGACTTGGAGTGCCTGAAAGGTTTTGTTGCTGGATGCAATGAGCAGCAAACCGTCGTTCCCCCCTCCCTCTCGCATGCCTTGGCGATCATCGCCCCCGGTGCTTCCCCATTTTCGATAGGAAAATCCACGCCCACCATCGATATTAATTTGTTCCATGCCTCCACCGGCCATGTCAACGAATTCTTGATGCGTGAAACGGCCAAGCAGCAGGGCGTACGATTGGTGGGGGAGATGCAGCCGTGTGTGGGCTGCGTGGAAGCGAAGGGTAGGCGGGCCCCGGTGCCGCGGCGTGGCACCCGCGCGGCGGTACCGTTCGGCAAAATCCACATCGACCTCACGGGCCCGTTCTCTGACGCGTTGGACGGCTCCCGGTACCTGATCATGTTCGCGGACAGCGCATCGCGGTGGCAACGGGGGTACGGGATGCGGGCCAAGAGCGACACCCTGAAGTTCGTGCAGCGGTTTCTCGCCGACATGAACGGCATGGGCACTCCGGGTTGTTTCCGCATGGACAACGGCGGCGAGTTCACCGGCTCCGCGTTCACCTCGTTCTGCGACGCTGCTGGCATTCGGCGCGAGTACACCGCCCCCGACACCCCCAAGCAAAATGCGGTGGTCGAGAGCGCCATATGGCGCGCCATGAAGGGGGGCCGCGCCGCGCGCCGCCACATCCTCGCCATGGACCACGTCGACCTCTCTTCCATCCCCAACGTCGGCGTCAACGGACACCGCCTGTGGCTCGCGTCGGCGCTGTGGGCATCCGCCTGCTTCAACCGCTCGGCGACGAAGGCCAACCTGGGCTGGATGTCGCCGTTCGAGGCGTTCTTCGGCCGGAAACCGCCCCTCACCGTCGTCCCTTTTTTCCAGGAGGGGATGATGCGCGTGAAGCGGGCTACCAAGGCGGACGTCCAATCCGCGCGGTGCTTCTACCTGCACGGCGCCAACAACCACTCTACGTCTACCGCTGTCATTCTTCGCGCTGACACCGGTCGCCTCGCCCTCACCAACAACGTCGTGTGGGTAAACCGCCGGGCAGGAGCGCCGGCACCGGTGCCGGGCATCGGGGGGGGTTCTTCGGTCACCGCGGCGCCCTCGCCGGCCGCCGCCGTACCTGCGGCCGATGCCGCACCGCCGCCGCCCCCGCTATCCAGGACGTACAGGTACACCCCGCCTGCACCAGCGACCACCGCACCGCTGCCGCCCGCTTCTCCGCCGATCTTCACAGGATCATCAGCCCCGTCGCCGATCTCCGACGCCCCACCATCAGCCCCACCGTCGACCGCAGCGACGCCGCCCCGTTCGCCCCCGGGCCTGCCGCCGCAGCCCGTCAGCGCCGCCGCCACCGCTCCTCCGCACCCGCCGCTCTCGAAATGAGCCGTCAAGGAGTTGGGACGAGAGGACACGAGGGTCCACGGCCGCACGCGCGGCGATGGAGTGCGGTTCATGGGAGATCAACAACAAACCGCCGTCAGGTGGCGGCGCCGCTCTCCACCACCGCCTTGGACTGTTAGCGGTGATGGACAAGGACTCCCTCATCTCGTCGCTGGCCACTCGCGAGGCCGTCGACCAAGGACGGTGTGACCCACCGCCTCCGCCGCCGCCGGATCCGAGCTTTGGAGGCCGTGAGAGCGGGGGGGCAGTGGGAGCTGGGGGGCCCGTGGATTCCGGGGGGGGGGGAGACCGCACATGTTCGCCTCGATGTTCGCCACCCGCGAGGACGTGGACGCTGCTCTTCGCGCCGAGCGTCCTCCTGACAAGATGCCGGACCTTCCTCACTGCCTCGCCAGCGACCTCCGAGTGCCGAAAACGTTGAAGGAGGCCATGCGGTCTCAACACTCAGAGTTGTGGGATGATGCAGTCGGTCGAGAGTTTTTCGGTTTGCTGGATGCAGGAACTTTTAGTCCGGTGTAGCAACCAGTAGAGAACGCCATCAATGCCAAGTGGGTTTGAACTGTAAAGCAGACGAGTACGGATGGCCGACAAAATTCAAGGCAAGACTTGTAGCACGGGGGGACATGCAGAGGGCTTCGATTGATTTTGGAGAATTTTTTGCACCCACCGTATCAGTGTCTGGTGTGCGCTTGTTGAGAGCATTAGCATGTGAGTAGAATCTTGACTTGTGCCATTTCGATATTCAGCAGGCTTTTGTGCAGTCTGAGCTTGAAGAGGATGTTTTCATGCGCTTACCGCAGGGTTGTGGTAGGTTGTCTGGCCTGATCGTGAAGCTGTGCAAGAGTCTGTATGGTTTGAAGCAGGCATCACGACATTGGCATGCGCACCTGACGAGGTGTTTGTTACTTTTAGGTTTTTTGCAGTGTCTGGCGGATGCACGTGTTTTTCGATTGATGGAGGAGGGACGTGTGATCATGATCATCGTGGTCCACGTGGATGACATTTTTGCCGTAGGGCAGAAGGAGAGGGATCTCAACGAGATGGTCCCCGTGAAGAACCTTGGAGAGTTGAGGTGGTACTCCGCGTGCTTTTACGAGAGAGACGTAGAGAGAGGGCTGCTGAAGATTTCACAACAGAGGTTTGCCGAAGAGTTGGCTGCAGAGTATGGCGTTGAGTGGGGGCAGAGTGTGCCTCTGCCGGTTAGCGTTAAGCTCACCGACTTTGACATGAATGAAGCGAGTGCTGACGTCCCTTTTCGCGAGTTGGTATGATCCCTGATGTGGTTGGCCACTCAAACAAGGCCGGACATCGCGAATGCAGTTCGAGCAGTAGCGCGGTATTGCGCGTCTCCCAAGATGGTGCACTGGAAGGCAGCACTCGGTATTTTAGGGTACGTACGCAGGACGAGTTGGATGGGGATTACATTTGAGAGGGGCGTCGTGACAGGTATGAGCATGCAGGTGTTTGTGGATGCCGACTATGCAAGCACGGCGGCAGACCGGAGGTCTGTATCAGGGGGCTAGTGATGTGTGTGTGGGGGGGTGTGACTTGGTTTTCCCGAACGCAGAAATGCGTCACCCTTTCCACCACGGAAGCAGAGTATGTGGCAATTGCCGACGTCTTGAAGGAAGTGTTGTTCTTGAGGCAGGTGTGGCGTTTTATGTTGCCAGATGCGGTTATGCCGTGCATCCCGGTGTTCGAGGATAATCAGGGAGCGATTCAGATTGCGCACAACCCGATCACGAACTCCAACTCGAAGCACATCGATGTAGAGAGGAAGGAGATTTCAATTACTCATGTGCCGACGCAATTCCAGCATGCAGACTTCTTGACGAAGGCTATTAGCAAGGAGTCTTTTGCGTTGCACCGTGACTTTGTGATGAACTTGCAGTGAAGGAAGTGTTTTGGGGTCGATTCGTATTCTGTAGTGGAGGGAGAAAGAGAAAGACGAGATTGGACAAGAGAAAGAGAGAGTCTGGTGAAGGTCGTAGGAGTTTTGGTTGGTATTTTTTTCTTGATTGTCTTTCAGGAGTTTTTCTTGTTTTGGAGATGGTGGTAACGGTGAGGATAATATTGATATTTTGCCGGCGCATGACGATGTATACGAGCAGGGGGGCTATTAGATATACTCGTAGCATAGCATGGTGGGTGATATCTTACGTATTGATG